CTGCTTTGGAATTTTAAAGGAAGCTCAATGTAATCGCAGAATATTTGAAGGAATTCAATAGGATCGGATTTTTTTATTTTAAAATTTAATGCTTTAGGAGGTCAATATGACCTGTGAAATATTCTTTAAATTCTTCAAAATATTCCAAGACTTTGGAGGTCAGTAGTATGGCCTCTGAAAATATTCATAAAAATCCGCACCTTATAAGGTCAATATAGCCTCTGCAAATGTTCCTGAAAATTCACGCCTTATGCAGTCAGTAAGAGCTCTGAAAAGGTTCCTGAAAATCCGCACCTTATGTGGTCAATATAGACTCAGAAAATGTTATTGAAAATCCGCACCTTATGAGGTCGATATAGCCTCTGAAAATGTTCTTGAAAATCCGCACCTTATGAGGTCGATATAGCCTATGAAAATGTTCTTGAAAATCCGCACCTTATGAGGTCAATATAGCCTCTGAAAATGTTCTCGAAAATCCGCACTTTATGAGGTAAATATAGCCTCTGAAAATGTTCTTGAAAATCCTCACTTTATTAGGTCAATATAGTCTCTAAAAATATTCTTTAAAAATCGACGCTTGTGGCCTCTGAAAATATTCTTTAAAAATCCACGCCTATAGAAGTCAGTATGGCCTGTGAAAATATTCTTTAAAAATCCACGCCTATAGAAGTCAGTATGGCCTGTGAAAATATTCTTTAAAAATCCACGCCTATAGAAGTCAGTATGGCCTGTGAAAATATTCTTTAAAAATCCACGCCTATAGAAGTCAGTATGGCCTGTGAAAATATTCTTTAAAAATCCACGCCTATAGAAGTCAGTATGGCCTGTGAAAATATTCTTTAAAAATCCACGCCTATAGAAGTCAGTATGGCCTGTGAAAATATTCTTTAAAAATCCACGCCTATAGAAGTCAGTATGGCCTGTGAAAATATTCTTTAAAAATCCACGCCTATAGAAGTCAGTATGGCCTGTGAAAATATTCTTTAAAAATCCACGCCTATAGAAGTCAGTATGGCCTGTGAAAATATTCTTTAAAAATCCACGCCTATAGAAGTCAGTATGGCCTGTGAAAATATTCTTTAAAAATCCACGCCTATAGAAGTCAGTATGGCCTGTGAAAATATTCTTTAAAAATCCACGCCTATAGAAGTCAGTATGGCCTGTGAAAATATTCTTTAAAAATCCACACCTATAGAAGTCAGTATGGCCTGTGAAAATATTCTTTAAAAATCCACGCCTATAGAAGTCAGTATGGCCTGTGAAAATATTCTTTAAAAATCCACCTATAGAAGTCCTATAGAAGTCAGTATGGCCTGTGAAAATATTCTTTAAAAATCCACGCCTATAGAAGTCAGTATGGCCTGTGAAAATATTCTTTAAAAATCCACGCCTATAGAAGTCAGTATGGCCTGTGAAAATATTTCTTTAAAAATCCACGCCTATAGAAGTCAGTATGGCCTGTGAAAATATTCTTTAAAAATCCACGCCTATAGAAGTCAGTATGGCCTGTGAAAATATTCTTTAAAAATCCACGCCTATAGAAGTCAGTATGGCCTGTGAAAATATTCTTTAAAAATCCACGCCTATAGAAGTCAGTATGGCCTGTGATAAATATGGCCTGTGAAAATATTCTTTAAAAATCCACGCCTATAGAACTATAATTGTTACTGAAAATATTCTTTAAAAATCCACGCCTATAGAAGTCAGTATGGCCTGAATCCACGCCTATAGAAGTCAGTATGGCCTGTGAAAATATTCTTTAAAAATCCACGCCTATAGAAGTCAGTATGGCCTGTGAAAATATTCTTTAAAAATCCACGCCTATAGAAGTCAGTATGGCCTGTGAAAATATTCTTTAAAAATCCACGCCTATAGAAGTCAGTATGGCCTGTGAAAATATTCTTTAAAAATCCACGCCTATAGAAGTCAGTATGGCCTGAGAAAATATTCTTTAAAAATCCACGCCTATAGAAGTCAGTATGGCCTGTGAAAATATTCTTTAAAAATCCACGCCTATAGAAGTCAGTATGGCCTGTGAAAATATTCTTTAAAAATCCACGCCTATAGAAGTCAGTATGGCCTGTGAAAATATTCTTTAAAAATCCACGCCTATAGAAGTCAGTATGGCCTGAGAAAATATTCTTTAAAAATCCACGCCTATAGAAGTCAGTATGGCCTGTGAAAATATTCTTTAAAAATCCACGCCTATAGAAGTCAGTATGGCTTGTGAAAATATTCTTTAAAAATCCACGCCTTAGATGGTCAGTAAGGGCTCTGAAAATATGGCCTCTGAAAATATTCTTGAAAAATCCACGCCTAAGGAAGTCAGTATGGCCTGTGAAAATATTCTTATAAATCCACGCCTAAGGAAGTCAGTATGGCCTGTGAAAATATTCTTTAAAAATCCACGCCTATAGAAGTCAGTATGGCCTGTGAAAATATTCTTTAAAAATCCACGCCTATAGAAGTCAGTATGGCCTGTGAAAATATTCTTTAAAAATCCACGCCTATAGAAGTCAGTATGGCCTGTGAAAATATTCTTTAAAAATCCACGCCTATAGAAGTCAGTATGGCCTGTGAAAATATTCTTTAAAAATCCACGCCTATAGAAGTCAGTATGGCCTGTGAAAATATTCTTTAAAAATCCACGCCTATAGAAGTCAGTATGGCCTGTGAAAATATTCTTTAAAAATCCACGCCTATAGAAGTCAGTATGGCCTGTGAAAATATTCTTTAAAAATCCACGCCTATAGAAGTCAGTATGGCCTGTGAAAATATTCTTTAAAAATCCACGCCTATAGAAGTCAGTATGGCCTGTGAAAATATTCTTTAAAAATCCACGCCTATAGAAGTCAGTATGGCCTGTGAAAATATTCTTTAAAAATCCACGCCTATAGAAGTCAGTATGGCCTGTGAAAATATTCTTTAAAAATCCACGCCTATAGAAGTCAGTATGGCCTGTGAAAATATTCTTTAAAATATTCCCACGCCTATAGAAGTCAGTATGGCCTGAGAAAATATTCTTTAAAAATCCACGCCTATAGAAGTCAGTATGGCCTGTGAAAATATTCTTTAAAAATCCACGCCTATAGAAGTCAGTATGGCCTGAGAAAATATTCTTTAAAAATCCACGCCTATAGAAGTCAGTATGGCCTGTGAAAATATTCTTTAAAAATCCACGCCTATAGAAGTCAGTATGGCTTGTGAAAATATTCTTTAAAAATCCACGCCTTAGATGGTCAGTAAGGGCTCTGAAAATATGGCCTCTGAAAATATTCTTGAAAAATCCACGCCTAAGGAAGTCAGTATGGCCTGTGAAAATATTCTTATAAATCCACGCCTAAGGAAGTCAGTATGGCCTCTGAAAATATTCTTATAAATCCACGCCTAAGGAAGTCAGTATGGCCTCTGAAAATATTCTTTAAAAATCCACGCCTTAGATGGTTAGTAAGGGCTGTGAAAATATTCTTTAAAAATCCACGCCTTAGATGGTTAGTAAGGGCTCTGAAAATATTCTTTAAAAATCCACGCCTTAGATGGTTAGTAAGGGCTCTGAAAATATTCTTATAAATCCACGCCTAAGGAAGTCAGTATGGACTCTGAAAATATCCTTTAAAAATCCACGCCTCTTCCCTTTGAAGAATATTAAAAAAAAACACTAACAACAACATCGTATCGGTTCTTCCTTGTCACCTTAGCAACAATTGCGTCGTTGTTTGTTTATAAACAAAGACCTTTCCTTCCAACACACTTTTCAAATATTTCAGTATTCGAAAAAACCTCCAACAATGGATTTCACCTACAATGAATTTCCAATATCTGTGGACCTAAATACCCTCAAGACTTATTTCGATCTGAAACAATGTAAATTTCCAAAATCTTTGGCAAGATCCCTTCATCTGAATCTTGAAGATACCGAAGGTGCTACCGAAGTTTACCAACCCAAAAGTCTCCGGCATTTGGTATTGGATTTTTTGCTCGAAAGTTGGTGTGGTATGGAACTCGTTCATGTTAACAATAAGACCAATGTCAACAGAAAATATTTATTACTTATTTATGTTCGAATGTGTGTTTGTGTGCGTATTTTACAACCATCATTTCATTTCCGCTGCAATAGACAATCCCATCTACGAAGAGTTGACCGAACCGAAGGATCGCAACTACATTCTAAGCAACTTGGATGTCAACCTTCCGTTAAAGATTTTAAGCGCCCACATTCGTGATGATTTCTTTTGGCGTAAAGCTTATCAACACCGTTGGAAAACCCTTTACTACCGGACGCATAGCTATCCCTGTACTCCCCCACGGCCAGTTGAGCCACCCACCCTTGCCAATCCTTGTCCCGGACAAAAGGGTAAAAAAGTGACAAAATCATGGCTTAACATTTACATGGAACGGCATTTGCAGGAGTTCATCGAAAATCTCCCCACCACGGAATACGAACAGGAAAATGTTCAGACAACGGTGTTGGACATTTGTGGGGGTTACATAAATCAATTGGAGATAAACTACCTACAGCCCAGCATGGATGGTAATAATGGTAAGACAAAGGACTAGGCCTTTTGTTGACATCTGTCGCTTTGCTTATAAATATCTTTATCGTGTTGTTGTTATTGTTGTTGTTCGTTTCAGATCACATTCCACTTGATTTCATTTTGAGTAATCTACCGGAATTGCATACATTACGGCTGACATATTGTACGAAAACTATTGGAACACAATTCTATTTGGGCTGTAATACGATGTCACGCAAGGATGCGAATATTTTGGCCAAGGGTTTGGCCCAGTGTCATGAATTGGTGAATTTTTGGTAAGTGCGGGGAAATGGTTTCCTCATATGAAGAAAACTGAGTATTCTAATAAGAAGACCTTATGATATTCTAGTAAGAAATTCTCATGATTTTCTAATAAGAGGACCTCATGGTCTTCTAATAGGAAGACTTCATGGTCCTCTAATAATTTTCTAATAAGAGGACCTCATGGTCTACTAATATGAAGACTTCATGGTCCTCTTCTCATAAGATAACATCGTGACCTTCTAATAAAAAGGCCTCATAGCATTCTATTACGATCACCTTTTGGTTCACTGGGACATCCTAAGGCGTGGATTTTTAAAGAATATTTTCAGAGCCCTTACCGACCATCTAAGGCGTGGATTTTTAAAATAATATATTCAGAGCTCTTACTGACCTCCTAAGGCGTAGATTTTTAAAAGAATATATTCAGAGCTCTTACTGACCTCCTATGGCGTGGATTTTTCAAGAATATTTTCAGAGCCCTTACCGACCATCTAAGGCGTGGATTTTTAAGACAAATATTTTCAGAGCCCTTACCGGCCATCTAAGGCGTGGTTTTTTGAAGAATATTTTCAGAGCCCTTACCGGCCATCTAAGGCGTGGTTTTTTGAAGAATATTTTCAGAGGCCATATTGACCTCCTAAAGCCTGGATTTTTCAAGAATATTTTTAGAGGCCATACTGACCTCCTAAGGCCTGGATTTTTAAAGAATATTTCCAGATACTTCTTTAGCAGAAAACTCTTCTTCAATTGTTCCCATAATTTCCGCTTCCTTTAACAACATTTTCCCTTTCTTGCCACACCTTCCATTAGCTTCCACAACACCACCCTGGAACCATATCAACTGGGATTATTTGCTCACAGCCTCGATAAGGGTTGTCACCATCTCACCGCCTTGTCATTGGAACACTGTAGTCTGGGCGATGAGGGGATACGTCAGTTTCTGGGTTCCTGTAACAAAGAGTCTTTTGGTACCTTGAAATATTTGGACTTGACAAATAATAAAATAAGTAAGAGCAAATCTCGTAATTTAATAAAATTTATAATTTTTTTTATATTTGTTTCTCCCTAGCCTCCGATGGTGCCTATATCATTGCCCGTGTTGTCAAGAATTTAAATTTAGAGAAAATAAGTTTACGTCTAAATCCAATTGGTAGCGATGGTGCGGCAGCCATCTTTGGTATTTTGGATTGTTTGCCCATGAGAAATGTTGATATTTCGGGATGCTCTATAACGGATACGATAACATTGTTGTTCGTTAATTTCCTATGTCATAATCGGACACTGTGGTATATCGATATGAGTAATAATGAATTGGGAATGGTAGGAAGAAAAATATTTTTTATAGAGAAAAATTATAATAATTTTGGATTTTTTTTTCAGAATTTTGGTGAGCAGTTACTAAATGTCATTGATCGCAATAAGCATTTGAAGGTGTTGGATCTGAGAAATACTGGCCTAACATTGGAAATGTGTAATAGGGTTAAGAATATTTTAAAAGATAATTTTAAAAATTGGGATTAATAAAGGATATCAGAAACTCAAAATAAAAATTCTGAGGCGTGAATTTTGAAAAAAATTTTCAGTGGCTATACTGACCTCCTAAGGCGTGAAGTTTTAAAAATAGTTATAAAGAATATTCTGATCTCCTAAGGATTTTAGAGTCCATACTGATCTCCTAGGGCGTGAGTTTTTAGGAAATATTTCGAAGGCTGTATTGACCTCCTCAGACGTGGATTTTTTAACAATATTTTCAGAGGATTCCTAAGGCGCGGATTTTTTTAAAAATGTTCTCAGTGGATATTCTGACCTCTTGATGCGTGCTTTTTTTTATAAATATTTTCAGACTTCTTGGAGCGAGGATTTTTAAAAATATTTTCAGAGCATATATAGCTCTCCTAGGGCCTTAAGTTTTCCAGTGACTAATCTGAAATCCTAATGCGTCGAGTTTGAAAAATATAATATATTTCATGACTATACTGACCCCTTAGGGCCTGTATTTTTTTCGTGTCTATACTGATACATGACTTACATACTTAGCTGGCTTGTGACAGAACTTTCGTTCCATAAGCCGAGCTTAAAACAGATTTCCAGGCCCATCGGTCTTTTGGGCAGTTTTTCCAGTTTGAAAGACCATATTCGGCAATGTTATCTTCCACTTGATCTTTCCATCTTATTCGTGGCCTTCCCCTTCTGCGTGAACCATTAGCTGGTTCGCTTGTATATGCCTGATACATGAAATTTTAAATATGTATTCAGTGATCGTAAGGCATGGATTTAAACAAAAATTAAAGGCTTCTAGGGCCTGGATTATTAAGAATATTTGTAGAGGAAGTACTGACACTCTAAAGTACATATTTCTAAGACAAAGGCATACTGTCCTCGTAGGGCGCAGATTTGTAAGGAAATTTTTGTAGTCTATACTGACCTCATGGAATCCAGATTTTTAAAATTGTTTTCAGACTTCCTAAGGCCTAGATTTTTTTACATAATAGTTTTTAAACTTTATGAGTCAAATAGGTCTTTTAAAGTAATTTTCTTATTAGAAAACAAAAATGCATTCTTATTATTCTTATCTTATATTCATATTAAAAAATTAAAGCATATTCTTATTAGAAAATCAATAGGTCTTCGTTTAGTGAGAAAATTGGATGTTCTAATTATATCACCAAGAGGGTTTCTAATTAGAATATTAGGGTGTCTTTTATAAGAAGACGAATATTTCATTTTATTGGTGATATTATTAGAGGACCAATAAATCTTCAAATTAGACTAAAATATCAGCTTTTTAGAATACAAAAAGATGTTCTTATTAGAAGTTCTGGAGTTTTTGTATTATTATTAAAAGTTAAAGAAACATTCCAATTAGAAGACAAAACTGTCTTCTTGTTAGAAGACCATAAGTCATTTTCTTATAAGACCTCGTTTTATTATGTTTTCTAATAATAAATATTCGTATAAAGGAACTAAAATATACTCTTATTAGAAGTCCAAGATATCTTCTTATTGCAAGATGAGTTCTTATGAGAAGAAATGGGTTAGAAATAGGGTTAGAATATGAATATGTATTTTTATTGGTATTATTATTAGAAGACAAAAAAAGTCTTCCAATGCGTAATATATCAAAAGTTTTTCTTATCAGAAGTTATGATGTTTTTTTTATTATCAAATTTTAAAGAAGTATTCTAATTAGAAGACAAAAGTGTTTTATTCTGAGGTTTACTTATGAGAAAAATATGTAGTCTTTTTATCAAAAGGTTTTCTTATCAGAAGTTATAGAATTTTTATTATTACCAAATTTTAATGAAGTATTCTAATTAGAAGACAAACGTGTTTTATTTTGAGAAAAATATGTGGTCGTTTTATTAGAAGGCAAAGTCCTTTTCTTATTATAAGACTAAGAGTTCTTCCTTCTTCTCATTAGAAGAACAAGAGAACTTCTTATTGGAAAACCAATATTTTTTTAGCAAATCAGTTGGTCTTCTTTAAAAATATATATTTTTTATTAGAAAATCAAGACATTTTCTTATTAGAAGATGTATAGGTTTTCTTATTAGATGACAGAGATGACTTCTGATTATACGACTAAGAGGTCCTCTTACATAGAAATAGAAAATTAGGATATGTTATAGTTAGAAGAGGTTTTATTCATCGTTAAAAATGTGTTCTTATTGGAAAGCCAAGAGTCCATCTCAATAGAAATTCAAGAGGATATTGTTATTGTTAAGCGTTCTTCTTATTAGAAGATTTCTTTAAAAGTCCAATAACTAGTATTTTTAATGGAGAAAATGATCTTCTTGTTTTAACATCTTATTGGAATATCAAGAAATATTCTTATTAGAAAGCCAAACGTGTTTCCAATTGGAAAACAAAATTGTTGTCTTATTGAAAAGCTATTTTATTAGAAAACTAACACCAACTTATTCGGAAACGAATGGAAAACCAAACGATCTTATTAGAATTCCTAAAGCAAATGTTTAAAAGCCTACATTTGAAGGAAAAGTAAAACATTATTTTATCTCACGAAATCCTATTTTTAGCCCATTTGTATATAAAAATATCTTTCACATTCCTTGACAAATATGTCAACAGTAATGTTAACAATTAAAGAAAATGCCAAAGTCCCTCCACAAAAGTAAAACAACAACACCACCAAAAATAATTTCCCAAAAAAATCAAAAAACTTTAAAATCCCTACAGTCATTTTCATTATCTTTTACGCTAAACCTTCTGCTGAACAAACTGAACAAGAGAATCAAATACAAATGTTGAGAAAATATTAGCTTAAGTATCCTTTTTATAATGTTGTGGCACCTCTCCCCTCTCTCGCCTATCCTTCTCTGCAGTTGCCGTGAAACCTCAAGGCAGTCCCAAAGGAATTTGGCGCCTTGAGAACAAAAAAAAAGAAACTTCCTCCAAAGTGATGGAACAGAGAAACCTGCTATCTAAGCAGTTGTTGGTGTTGGCAAAAATTGGTTGTTATAGTGCTTTTACGGTTGTTTTTGTTGGCAAAACACTTTTACTCGTTCGTTCGGTTTTTTAATGGTCTATGGTTTTGTTGTTCTAATGTCCTTCGTTCGGGGAAAACATGTTAAGGAGAACAGTGGGTCAAAAGTTTAATTTGAAATTTTGTTAAGGAAGCATTTTTAATTAATTTTTGTAAAATAAAAATCATAACAGTCAAATTCCGTCTAGCTTACCTCATAAGGTGTATATTTTTTGATGTTATACTGACCTCCTAGGGCTTTGATTTTTAGGAATATTTTACGAGGCGTATTAACCGCCTAGGTCGTGAAGTTTTAAAAAATATTTTCAGAGGATATGTGGTCAGCATATGAGGCGTGGATTTTTAAAAAGTATTTTCACAGACCATACTGACCTCCATAGGCGTGGATTTATTTAAGAATATTTCCAGAAGCCATACTGACCTCCTTAGGCGTGGATTTTTTACGAATATTTCCAGAAGCCATACTGACCTCCTTAGGCGTGGATTTATTTAAGAATATTTCCAGAAGCCATACTGACCTCCATAGGCGTGGATTTATTTAAGAATATTTCCAGAAGCCATACTGACCTCCATAGGCGTGGATTTATTTAAGAATATTTCCAGAAGCCATACTGACCTCCATAGGCGTGGATTTATTTAAGAAAATGTTCTCAAGGACCTCCATAGGCGTGGATTTATTAAAGAAAATGTTCTCAAGGACCTCCATAGGCGTGGATTTATTTAAGAAAATGTTCTCAAGGACCTCGATAGGCGTGGATTTATTTAAGAATATTTTTCAAAGGCCAAAACAGGCGTGGATTTATTTAAGAATATTTTTCCTGGGCTCCCATAAGGCATGGATTTATTTAAGGCGTGGATTTATTTAAGAATATTTTTCCCGGGCCAACTGAGGCGTGGATTTATTAAAGAATTTTTTTCACGGGCCAACTGAGGCGTGGATTTATTTAAGAATATTTTTCAAGGGCCAACTGAGGCGTGGATTTATTAAAGAATATTTCCAGAAGCCATACTGACCTCAATAGGCGTGGATTTATTTAAGAAAATTTCCACAATCCATACTGACCTCCATAGGCGTGGATTTATTTAAGAATATTTCCAGAAGCCATACTGACCTCCATAGGCGTGCATTTATTTAAGAATATTTGCAGAAGCCATACTGACCTCCATAGGCGTGGATTTATTTAAGAATATTTCCAGAAGCCATACTGACCTCCATAGGCGTGGATTTATTTAAGAATATTTCCTGAAGCCATACTGACCTCCATTGGCGTGCATTTATTTAAGAATATTTGCAGAAGCCATACTGACCTCCATTGGCGTGCATTTATTTAAGAATATTTCCAGAAGCCATACTGACCTCCATAGGCGTGGATTTATTTAAGAATATTTCCAGAAGCCATACTGACCTCCATAGGCGTGCATTTATTTAAGAATATTTCCAGAAGCCATACTGACCTCCATAGGCGTGGATTTATTTAAGAATATTTCCAGAAGCCATACTGACCTCCATAGGCGTGGATTTATTTAAGAATATTTCCAGAAGCCATACTGACCTCCATAGGCGTGGATTTATTTAAGAATATTTCCTGAAGCCATACTGACCTCCATAGGCGTGGATTTATTTAAGAATATTTCCAGAAGCCATACTGACCTCCATAGGCGTGGATTTTTTAAGAATATTTCCACAAGCCATACTGACCTCTTTTGAAGTGGATTTTTAAAGAATATATTCAGAGCCTTTACTGACCTCCTTAGGCGTGGATTTTTTAAGAATATTTCCAGAAGCCATACTGACCTATACTGACCTCCTATTTACAGACTATATACTGATCTCTTGAGGCGTAGATTTTTATGAATATTTTCAGACTGCTATGGCATGAAAAATCGTTTTTAATGTTCACAGTTCCGCAGCACTGTGCCACAATTTATGTGTTTCGACAAAAAAACTAAAACTTTGTTTTGTTTTTCTTGCTCTTTGCTATTAGAGAGCAACAAACAACACACACCCACACAAAAC